TTCTAACCGTGTAATCTAAATCCTTATTCTAACCCCTTAATCTAACCCCTTATTATAATCCCTTCAGCTGTCCCCTTATTCAATCCCCTTATTCTAATCCCTCATGTTAATCCCCTATTCTAACCCCTTAATCTATCCCCTTATTCTAATCTCTTATTCCATTGCTTATTCTAACCTCTTCATTTGAGGCCTCACTCTACTCTGTTGTTCTAATTTCTAATCCAAGTCATTAACCTATATCTATCCCCTTATTCTAACCGCTAATCTAACTTCTTCATCGATATCAAGGGGAAAGAAACTGATTTCTAATGCCAGAAATCAATTTGAAATCAACAGAAATTGATCGAGATCATTGCTATTGTGTGCATATCTCAGCTTGTCAGAATTTTGATATCCATAATAGGGGTAAGAAATCACTGTTATCTGAGAAGGAAAAATTTGTGAGATTGATTTTTTCGTTAGGGAAGTGTATTTTCCGAAAATGATGATTTTCGTATAAAGTTTGATCGGAAGCTATCGGAGTCGAGCAATCCAAATCTATAAGTGATTTCGAAAAATTTTCGAGTTTCGATTTTTTTGTCAGGGTGAAGCAATTTCTCATAGTTTTGCCAGCTCTATGGGAATATCCGCATTTCTGCAAAATAGACCTTCAGTGGCCGAAAAAATCAAGCTGATAAATTTTGAAAAGCGAGTCACAGATTCGAATTCCTGGACCCCCATGACATTTGGCCAAACTTTATAGAATATCGTTATTTTCTGAAAATAGCCTTATCCTAACAAAAAAATGAAACTCACAAATTTTGTAAAACGACTTATAGATTCGAATTCCTGGACCTCGATAACCTTTGATCAAACTTTATAGAAAATCGTTATTTTTTTGAAAATAGCCTTATCATAACAAAAGAATGAAAATCACAAATTTTGTATGACGACTCATAGATTCGGATTCCTCGAGCTCGATAACCTTTGATCAAAGTTTATAGAAAATCGTTACTTTTTGAAAATAGCCTTATCCTAACAAAAGAATGAAAATCACAAATTTTGTAAAACGGCTCATGGATTCGGATTCCTCGACCTCGATAACCTTTGGTCAAACTTTATGGAAAATCGTTATTTTCTGAAAATAGCCTTATCCTAACAAAAAAATGAAACTGACAAATTTTGTAAAACAACTCATAGATTCGGATTCCTCGACCTCGATAACCTTTGATCAAACTTTATAGAAAATCGTTATTTTTTGAAAATAGCCTTATCCTAACAAAAAAATGAAACTCACAAACTTTTCGTTACCGGTTATTTGGCAACGGAACGGTAGCGGACTTCCTCTAACTCGAAATCGTCAGAAATCATGGAAATCACTAGACATCAAGAAATCGGAAATCAGTCTGTTCCTCTTTGATCTGTATCTGTCCCCTTATTCTACTTTCTTGTTCTACCCCTTTATTCTAACCTCTAATATAACTCCTTAATCTATATCTATCCCTAAATGTATCGTGCTTATCTAAGTCCTTAATCTATGTGTATCCCCTTATTCTAACTCGTTGTTGTAATGTCTTATTCCGTGGTCTTATTCTAACTCTTTAATGTATATCTGTCCACTTATTGTAACCCTTAATCTAACTTCTTAACGTTGATCTGAATTTCGTATTGGTGAACATGTGCCCATAGTATAACCAGGGAAGAAAAACCTAAGTTCGGCACGAAATTGCTTGACTACGATGCCTTTAGAGGGCATATAGTGACCATCCAATTTAGCGCGACTCTTCGATTTTCACAGTAAAATGTGTCATAATACATCCAAATTTTAGGCTATTTGAAATATAAAAACGAATTAGAATTCTTTTGGGAACAAGGCCTTCTTTTACACTTCTCAGATTTCTTATGTTTTACAAAGCAACTTCACACAAATTAAGTAAGGTTTACGTCATGCATATCGAGCACCGCTTTACCTGAAAATCACACGATAGAACATGAGAATAAAAAAGATCATATTGGAATGCTAATTGGGTTTTGCATACTACTTAATGGGTTTTCGAAACTTTTTCTCGGAAACTCAAAGGTTTTCGCAACATTCGGAAACCCTAAGGGGTTTTCCAGTTATGTTCGGAAACCTTGCTAGATTTTTGGAAAACGCTTCGACCGTTTCCGATGCCTGGAAACCCAAAAGGGTTTTCGATAAAAAAATATGGAAAACCCGAAGGTATGCGAGGATACGCAATGGGTATCCGAAAAGGTTTTCGAAGCAAAACCGGTTTCCGAGAATACGGTTGAAGGTTTCCGAATCCGCTCTCTCTAAAATCCATTGGTTTCCGGATGCTCGGAAACCCTCAAGGTATTGTCAGAAACTCAACATAAGTTCGAAAACCCGTCCGGAAACCTAAAAAGGTTTGCGAAAAGGTTTCCGAAGGGGTATCGGTTTCCGAGGAAACCTTTTTTTTTTAGAGTGTAGAAGGACTGTTTCTTATTGATTTACACTTTGACAAATTCTATTGTAACGAAAATGTTGATAGAGTTCTTTCTCAAATGAAAATAATGAGAAAAAAACAATTAATATTTCAAGAATCTTCACAATTCTTAAATGTATTGTTTCACAATATTGAAGGATTAAAATGTAATTTTAAAGCATTTTCTAATTACCATTTATTACATAAAGCAGATTTGATTTGTCTCGCAGAAACATGGTTGAAAGATGATACTCGATTGGATCATCTTCAAATTAATGGTTATAATCTTGTTCATAAAACACGGGCATGTTCATTTGTATCAAACCATTTACTTCATTCACAAAAAGGTGGTGGTGTTGCAATATATTTTCGAGAAACTATTCCTATAAAAAAAATTGATTCATATGCACATGTAAATCTTGAATGTATTACTTTTGAAATAGAAAAAAGTAACATAGTTATTATCGTATGTTATCGATCACCACAGCAAAATAAAAAAGAATTTGTTGTAAATTTAATTGAACATTTAAAACAAATTAATATTGACAAAAATATTCTTCTTATTGGCGATTTTAATGAAGATAGTCTTGAAAATAAATCAAAACCTATTGAAACAAAATTAGAAAATTTAGGTTTTGTAAATATGTTTAAAGATATGCCTACCACGAATAGTTTAACAAGCCTTGATTGTGTTTATTCTAATTTTATACTAAATAAAGTTCAATATCGAGATGTGACAGGAATATTTTATAGCTTTCATGATGCATTAATTTGTTCCATTGATATAGAAAATAAGAAAAAAGAATCAAACAAAGAGATTGAGTTCAATAATGATGAACAGATGGATACAGATACCTGTTTACCTACTTCATTATCATTCCTGGAAATTTCTAAAGAAACAAATAAAAGAAAAAAAAATACAACAGTAAAATCAAATCACATATTTAAAAAAATAAAACTTTTAACAAGTGTCAATACCTGTAATAATCTTTTAAAAGAAAAACAAAGATTATTTCTTCGTAATTATACTAATATAAGAAAAGAAAATTGCTTAGAAAAAAGAAGAGCCACATTTAGTTTTACTGAACAACTTTCTAGTATAGGTTTAAAAAAAATTAATATATTAGCAGATGGTAATTGTTTCTTCCGTGCAATTTCACATCAACTATATAGACACGAAGACGATCATTTAAATATTAGATGTGAAACAATAAACTATTTAATTCAAAATATGAACGATTTTGCATCATTTATTGATGAAATGTATTCAACAATAGAAAATTATATTGAAGAAATGAGTAAAGATGGAACATATGCTGACCATCTCGCACTTTCATCTACAGCAGTTATCATCAATAAAAATATAATTGTTCATGAATTCAAAAAAAAACCTATACTTATTCCTGGCTCCGACTTTCTTGAACATCAATTACATCTCTGTTATGATCCAAATATGCCACATTACGATAGTGTTGTTTGTATTGATGGGAGCCCAGCCTTTCTTTCGTCTGAACATATTTTATTTACTTGATTAATTTTATTTTTTTTGTTTTTTATAATATTTTTTTCCTTTCTTTATATATTTTCTAATTATCTGTGTACTTAAACTCTACTGGGTTCATCTATGTGTTATTCTTTTATGTTTATTTACTTTTTTTTTATGTATACTTTTATTTAACTTTTCATTATGTTGTATTTTATTTATTATAAAAACAATTTCGTAATGTCATCTATCATCTCACGAATACTTTTCTGTTCAACCAACCACTAATCAATTATGTTATGAGACATATAATATTAACACATTTATAAAACTACTTCATATTCAATCATTTGTTTCACATTGAGAATTTATTAATAAGTTATCTCAATACTTTTCATATTAAAATGGTTGGTAAAAATATTTCAAATATTAATTGGAAAAAAAAATTTTATTGCTGATAATTAATGACTTTCACTTATACCAAAATTCTGTTTAAATGTTGGTTCTGTAATTTTCATGATAAACTGATAACTCAAATATTTGTCACATTAATTAAATGGATTACTAAATTTTGTTTTTTCGATTAGCACTGATTTGCCAAAAATATAACAATCTTGTTAACAGTTCAATTTGTTATATGTTACAATAAAATGGTAAAATCAAATATATATATAATATAATTTGGAAAAAAAATTCTACTTTTTCAGATCAACAATAAATTGTCTTACAACGATATGTTATTAATACATTATATTGATGCTTATGATAATAAAACGGTATGCTAAACTATTTTCAATGTTGATTAAAAAAGAAATTTTTTTAAAGATTGCCAATATTTTGTCTTACAAGAAGATCTTATTAATATATTATGTTATTAATTCTCAAAATCAAATAATACGTCAAAGTATGCTGTATGTTATTTAAAAAAAAATTTTGTAATTTTAACCATATTTAGAGTAGTAGAAGATCGTATCAATACATTATCTTTATGCTTCTCATAATAAAATAGTATATTAAAGTATAGAAAATATTAATTCAACAAAAAACAATTTATTTTCAATCCCCGAATCATTTGTTTTACAATAAGATCTTACTAATACATTACATTGATACTTCGCGCAACATAATAGTAACTTAAACTATTCTCTATGTTATTTGAAAAAAATAAACTATTCTCAGCTCAACAATAAATTTTCTTAGATGAAAACTTTATTTAAAAAAATTTGTTAAATACGCTATGTGATAAAATGGTACGCTAGAAATCTTTAATATTAACTTAAAAAAGAAATATTCATATTTTCAGATTACCCATAAGTTATCTTGCACCGAAGTCTTATTAATAGATCATCGTAATATTTTTGATGATAAAATAGTATGTTAAATTAATTTCAAAAATTAACTCGAAAGAAAAACTATTTTTAATTTTTAGATTAGTAATAAGTTACAAGATTTGCTTCAAACAAAGACAATAACAAAATAAAAAAAAACTTTATTATATATAAAATGATTTTTTGTAAATTTTTTGTTATAAAATTCTAATGTTTGCAGTTATATACGTAAAGTGAAATTATAATTTAATTTTTTTTTTAATGTTGCACTTGAATGACTTTTATATATAATAAATCGTTGTTATTTAGCTGATTATAATTATGATTACCTAAAACATTATTTAAGAAAACAAATATTATTTATACAAAAAAAATCGATTTCATTGAAAAATCAAATTGCTTGTACATTACTGAATCACTTTTAGGCAGAAAAAAACTTCGTCTGACTATTTTTTAAATATATATGAAAAAAAAAAATATGAATTCTTATAATTCAACTCTTCCTAGACCTATAGAAGACGAAAAAAAAGAAATATTATTTAATTATATATGTTAACATCTTACATTTAAAAGAATTTCAATTAGTTTATTTTAATTCATTTCGATTGTGAACATGATATTTATGCAACATCAATATTGATAGAATCAAGGTTCTTTATCACTTTCAAGCCACTTCATTTATTTTCATACCTATGCAGGTATCTGCTCAATAAATCTATTGATATACATACATGAAAAAGTACTAGTCTTAATACGGCTCAATGGCTGAGATAAATCGATTTTTTTGAACAGTGATCCGAATTACAACAGATGACTATACATTTTCTATTACATCATATCGACTATTAAATAAATACTCACTGATATATTTCACAATAAAACAAAAATTTGGTTCTTTTTTTAGTCTTTATTCAATTATTGATAACGTTTTTAATATTATATATCATTAAAATAATCATCCTTTTAAATAAACGTGAATATCATAAACAAATATTATTCAATTTATTCTAATTTAAAGAGAATAGATCTTCAACAAGAAACAAAAATTCCTTTTAACTTTAATTAAGTTGTCTTTATTTTAACAAAATATTTAAAAAAATGAATGTCTTATATAAAAATAAATATTTATTTGTTTAAGTTAATAACAAAAAACTAGTGATGATAATCGTCTCTCTCTAAACTATAAATTCGAGGATATATCTGATTTATCAGAATAATAAAAATCTAAAATAGATTAATTGAAATAACTTTTCAAGATTTAAATTATTTATAAATGATTATTGATCGTCACGAAAATCATCTATCGGAAATATCTTTCGATTTCTAATTGAATTTTTTTTCTTTTAAATCTATTATTCATTTTAAATCAAATTATTGATATCATTTTTATTCAATTCTATTCTATAATATCGATTATATATCAATAGAATCTCAACACAATTATAAATGTTGATTAACTGAAAAATGAAGTCATATGTGATTATACTGAAAAATAATTCTAAAAAAATTCTTTCATCAATAGTAGAACTCGTTAAAACAATTTCAATATATTCATGCTTTATATCACGAATTGTTACCAAATAATTAAATTCATTTAAAAAATCTTCTTTTTTTATCAAGCCATTCAAACAAATCATTTTTTGAATGTTGTTGGATTATTGATTGACACATATCCGAAGAACAACAATACATCATACATAATTTATCGAATATGCTTCTATCATTTGAACATGACTCATTTAAACAAGAACCTTAAGAAAAAAAAAAGAAATTTTCATAACTCTTTATACGATTTATTAGATCCGTTCTAATTAAATTATTTCTATTATCAAATAATATTCTAACTGTTATTTATTCTTTCGAAAAAATAATTGAATTAGTTCGATTAGCTTTCAATATTATGTTTACGAAACAAGTATCGACTTAAACATAATAACCAACTTGAACAATACATATTCGACTTATGAAAATCTTAAGCTAATCTTTCATCGTTTCAACGAATTGTTTTCATACTTTATTTAAGAAAAAAAAGAAGAAGTTGAACAACTCCTTTAATATGATGATATTTAAAGTCGAATATGAATATATCTTTATATAATTCTATCTAATAAATTAAAATAAGTCATTTATTATAGAGATCTATTTCTAACTAAATAAACTTAATATTTAAATAACTTATCTATCAAACATTGATTATTATTCATGATAATTATAATCAGATTTAATATATTTTTAAATGCATATATCGAGAACATATTTAAATATGAATATAATCATTAGTTGCAAATCCTACTCTTAATTACAACACTTACAAACGATGATAAATCGATTGTTCACAGTTATGACTATAAATCATTTAAACGATTTGAATTGAGAACGATTGAATTGCCAATTAATATTTCAAATGATCGTAATCATATATCGATTATTTACATTTTCATCCATTAATAATAATATTAAGAAAACAAATTTTTTTTAAAATTTTTCTAAACGATCGAAACATATTCGAAAATAAACATTCGAAACGGTTTTTATTTAATAATAGATTTATAAAACTCTAAATAAAAAATATAATTTAATTTAATTCTATATCGAGCAAATAAAATTGAATCTGTCTCATATTTTTCTCACATGTTTTTTTCAATAAAAATGATCTAAATATATTAAATAAAATCCATTTTTATATTAAAGAATTTTAACAAGTATTTTAAAATAAAGTATGTTTTATATAGAAACATAAAACTTTTTAAGATTAAATAAAATTAAAAAAAGAAACTCTTGTGAAATCTTAATTTGATAAGAAGTGAGAAACAAATAAATTGAAAAAAAAGTACTTATGATACTCAATCGTTAACTGAGATAAAACAATGTCGATTCAAATGACATATACATATAATGAATACAAATAAAAACGTTGTTATAATAAATGTTTATCTTTAACTAAATAATCTAATTTTGCTAATTTAGCATAATCAGGAATAAAACAGAAGAAGAAATAAACAAATGAAATGAAGCAATAAGATCATTTATAGTTGATGGATAAACTGTTCTGGTTAATACATATATATTGTTCAAATAAATGAATATAAATCTTGATGTGAACATTTATCTAATTTATTTTTTATATTCAATTTAGGATTTATTTCATTTGATGTTCTTTTATATTAATAATCGCAAGAAATTAATTTATATTGATTTCCAAAAAAATATATCAATAATATTTTTGTATATTTTCCAAGTATAATTGATGATATATTAAATGCATGTTCAACTTGATCAATTTTTGATCGAATTGAATCAAGTAAATTGGTCATATCTTCCTATTTATCTAATTTATCAAAAAAAAAAAAACAATTCTAAATGATTACCACTTTTTAATAAACGTAATATTTATATTGGATTATTATCATATGTTGTTATATGAGGATATCGTCTACATGATACATATAATGATGCAGCTAACCAATGTAATTGATCGCCTTCTAACACATAATAATTACGAATATGTTCATATGAACGCCATGCATCTAAGTTTAGTTCCATATCCATATTTAAATCAAGACATAATTTTGAATATAACATTTCAACTGATTCATCATCGTTAATTAATATTTTTACTTTCTTTTTGTTCTAAAATAATAAAAAACTGATTGACATTGATTTAAATCAAAAAAACTTACATTAATGAATCAGGTAAATGAAAATCTATTGAAAAATACACTTGAAATTGTGTTTATTTGTAATTCCTTTTTCAATAACATATATCCCTGTGTTTGTTCGTTGACATATTATTCTAACGACAATTCAATCATATTTATATTGGTGTATATTTAGATTTGTTTTTTGTCTTTCGTTCGTGTTTTTTCACAAATCGATTCAATCGACGAATGAATAAGTATTTGTTTGACTTAGTTCATTGAAGTCATCATCTACGAGAAAAAACACAAGAAAATCATCAATAATGTTCATTCTTTTTTTTTTGAATTCAATTGATAAGATTAGTCAAACCAACAAAGATTAGCTTGATAGATAGACAGACACTAAATAGAAACCTCTAATATTAAACATATTATTTTAATTACAAAATCGAAAACAAAATAACCACGATATATGTATATATATACTACCATGATTTATATTCGTTGGCTCTTTCTTCTTAACGAGTCATTTTGTTTTATTTTAGAAGTTAAACATTCATTTATTCATGTTTGACTATATTTGATATTGTTCAAATTGAAATAGAAAATGCTTTCATAATATTCCTAAATATTTTAAAGAAAACAAAGATAAAGTATTCACCAAAATTTAATATCGTTTTTCGTATATTTAATAAATAAAAACAGTATTATTCAATTAAGTCCACGTCTTGTTTCAATTAAATTTAGAAAAAAAAATAATGATGACGAATAATTACTGAATCATTTAATATATGATAAATGAAAGTATTTTTAACAAAGAAAACTAAAGGAAGATTTCTATTCGTTCGTTTCAAATGATCTTCTTAAAACAGAATCGATTTTTTTTCTTTCATACAGATTTTCTCTTAGAATTTTTTCGAAATTAAAAATAATATTTCAATGAAAATATTAAATATATGTTCGAATACAGATATATTAGTTTTGATTTAAATTGATGACTAGTGAGATCGTTTTAATATTATATTATATATATAAGATGAAGATATTTTTAAATCATTTTTGTATAATTATTATTTATTTATTATTTTAATAAATGATTCTTACTTTCAAAAACTATCATTTTTCATTTATATATCAGAAAATCGAATCATTTTTTCCTATAATTCAATTACCCGTTCTATATTCATCAAAAAAACATAATTCAATCATAGTCAATATTTTTTTTTTAAATGCAAAAAAATCTTTATTATAAAAATAATTATTTCGAATTAAATTTGTTGGGATAAATTTCATAATATATATCTATGATCTACTTCTCATTTGCAAATATAAATTCAATTAACGTTTAACTATAGTAGATAATTTTCAAACATTTTTTTATTATACAAATGACAAATCTTAGCAAGTTTTCATAAAAAAAATTCTAGTTTTCAAAAACTATTTTCCAATACTTGATTAATCAAAGCACATAGAGATAAGAAACATTTTCAAACATATTATAACAAAAAATTTATTAGTTCTTATGTGAAAAGTGACTTGCTTTATAGAATAGCTCAAGTTTTTATGTAAACAAAAGTAAATCATCAAGGATGAATTTAAAAACATTGCAGAAAACTATATTTTATTATTGTAAATGAAAAATATGAGAATTATTTTAATGTTTTATAAGAATTCCTGAATGTTTATATCATATTAGATAACATTGAGATTTATAATTGAAACTTGAAATTAACAAAACTCCTTAAAAAAAAAACGTTTTTTTATCATAATAATATTAAAGAAGTTTTCAAATACATAATTATATATAATCGAAAAATATTGATGAAATAAATTCATTTTGAATTATTGATTTATGTTATATTGATAATGACCAATAAAGACTGATTGGTTTAACAATTTAAATTAAAGTTAGAGAAAGATTTCTGATTATATTATTATTATAATCGATCTGGATTACTTAATAAACAATCGATTTGAAATCTTCTCCCAAGAATTTAAATCTATCTATAGAAATACTAGTTACCTTTAACTAAAACCGAACAGATTATCTTTATTTAAATTGATATGAGCAAGTTTTTTTTTTTTTTATTTTGAACAATAAAAACTAAAATAACCATTTTACTTTTATTATTTCAATTATCTCTTCAATAAAATATCAACAGAGATTTGTTTTTAGCATTTTTTTTTATATATTCCTTTCAATTCGAAATTCCTCTTTTCGAAGATTCGAGAAATTCGTGCTTCGCACCGCATTTCGTATTCGAGTCGAAACTCGAATACCATCTAGTTAATGCCCTGCGAAGCAGGAGCATTTATGTAGTCGTGCGCGAGTTTTTTTAATGCCCTGCGAAGCAGGAGCATTTATGTAGTCGTGCGCGAGTTTTTTAATGCGGTGCGAAGCACAGCATTTATGTAGTCCGTCGCGAGTTTTTAATGCCCTGCGAAGCAGGAGCATTTATGTAGTCCGTCGCGAGTTTTTTTTCTTTTTAATGCGGTGCGAAGCACAGCATTTATGTAGTTCGTCGCGAGTTTACTTTTTAATGCGGTGCGAAGCACAGCATTTATGTAGTCCGTCGCGAGTTTTTTTTTTTTCTTACTTTTTAGCTCGACGTACGCATCAAACTTGTCATTTTTTGACGCGATGATCTCGAGAATGGAAAGTCAGAAAAGACTCGTTCAAACGTGAAGTACAAGTATCGAGATCGAACTCGTACCATTTTTAGTCAGATCATCTACAGAACCTACAGTTAGTCTACAATCGGAGCTCCGAAATTACGATTTTGACAAAGTTCACTATTGACATAATTAAAACGAAAATTTAAAAGAAAAGTTAGGCGCCGATTTCTTTCCTTATATATTGGAAACAGCTGTGAATTACAGCTGATAGTAGACAATGAATCATTGAGATAATTAATCGATCAATAAACAACAGTTTCTAG